CCTCGCGCCTGATTGTGGTAGGGAGGGGGTGAAGCTCGCTACAGAGCAAGTAGATACGCCGAAAAAGCGGAAGCGGAGGAAGAAAGATGACAGGACGTTGAGCCCGAGCGAGCTGTTACAGATTCCTCTTGACCAGGATATCGTGAAGAGATATGTCGATTTGAAGCGAAAAGCCGAGCTCGAGTCAGACAAAACTACAGTATATTGCCCGCGGAAGTGGTGCCAGGGCGCTGCACGAACAGCGAAGCACCACAAGCGGACGGGCTTAGACCCTGGTAAAGATGAATCCGACGAGGAGTCGGAAGAGGAGGGAACAAGCGGCAATGGACAGCCGTCAGAACTTCCACCGCCGAGCGAAAGACTTGCAATATGCTCAGATTGCGCATATGCCTTTTGTGTTGTGTGTTTTCGTGGGTGGCATGGAGAACTTACGATATGCCGCCCTAGTGATCCTGGACAACTTTCCGCTGAGGAGAAGGCCTCGGAGGAGTACATGAAGTTACACACCACTCCTTGTCCAACGTGTGCTGCGCCATGTCAAAAGACGCAGGGATGCAACCACATGATATGTTTTAAGTGCAACACCCACTTCTGCTATCTCTGCAGCGCCTGGTTAGACCAGGCGAATCCGTATCAGCATTTCAACCAGGAAAAGTCTGGATGTTACCAGCGTCTCTGGGAGTTAGAGGGCGGAGACGATGGCGAGATCGGTCTAGCCTATGGCGGGGGAGTTGAACAAGGGGACAATGCGTTTATACCTTGGGATGTGGAGGAGGTTGGCGATGAGAGCGATGAAAGTGACGGTGATGACGACGACGATAGCGATGGCTCTATCGACGAAGAGGAGATAGTGCTGTTTGAGGACCCGCACGTTCAGGGTGAGCTGGGCCAGCTTTTGCTCCAGGTGGGGCAATTTCATGAACAAGATCCACCGCTACCGCCACCAGAAGCACCGGCTCCACCAGTCGTTGATGGACCTGCACGAATGCGACGAGCACAGGCTCCTCGCCCGGTATTACCACCAGGACTACGACCAGAAGACCACCCGCGACGAGCACCACCTATACTGGGTAATATTGTACGTCATGCTCAAGGAGATAGGGCTGGAGCAAATAGGATAGGGAGACCGGGGTTGCGGCGATTCCTTGAGATGGTAGAGAACGACGAAGAAGATGAGTGGGACAGCGATGAGTTGGATGATGACGAGGAACATCCGGATGGAGACTGGGAGATTCCCCTAAGGTAGCGGCATCAGCTTTCGAGTTTTTTTTCTAGGGCGCTGCCATAAGTCTCGTCTGGCGTTTTCAGTGCATAGCGTGGATGAAATGATGTTGACTACCTGTAACAATTTGGCTGTATATACCCTTAGATTTTCTGAACTGACTGCAGAATTATAAGGCCGTATTCTTATCGAATTCACAGCCAGGAATTTATTAAAATTCCCTAAACAGTCACAATACCACTAACCCTGGTGCTGTGTGGCTTATGAGCTTTCGTCACAAGCCGCGCAAGCCCCAGCATCATCACCACACCCCGCCACAACATCAAATAACCTACTTCTAGCACAGGTTGCCCTTGGGGCCGGTTTAACATTCGACTTAACTGCCCATGAGAATTCTTTGACTAATAGCAGTAAATACCTACTTCTAACCCACTGCTTTGGTTTTTTACATCCTGAGGTTTTTGTCGCATGTTGGACGATGACGTCCTCATCAGTTCAATATACGCCCCCAGCTTCACCACCGTCCCCATCGGCTTCATTTTATGATTTGAGCGATGACGAAGAAGGCGGATATAATACTATCACTCATTTGAGCACGGGGCGAGGCGTAAAGTTGTTATTTTCAAAGAGCAAGGTGAGTGGCTATCAGCTCTCGGTAGCACTGGATAGAGAGATCATGGTGCGCTCAGCTGCCACTTGTGTGCCTAGCTAATGATATTTTTTTTTTTGCTGTGGATTTTAGGTCTACGTTCATCCGACTCCGTCAGCAAAGGATAATATCCCCGGCTTTGTTGCCCTTGTCCAACAAAAGCCCCCGCCCTCGAGCGCTTCAGACACAGGCTCGAATGCTTCACCGAGGGATAGGGTCGCTTCTTCTCTCCTTCTGGCATGGCTACCGGAATTCTCTCTTGGGGACGCATATAGTACTTATGTTAAGGTGGATCTCGCTATTGATTCCGATAGTCCGCCTCGACAGTCCTACCTCGTACCCCCACCCCCGACTGCAACCACTCACAGCAGTGCTATCGGCACCTATGCGTTCGCGGTTCCTGTCAGTGAAATATATTCTCTGCTTGTAAGACCACCGAGCATTGGGTGGTGGTTTGGCAGTGTGGTTATAAATACCCGTGCTGGTGACAGCTTCCCGGCGTTGTTTTTTCACGATAGTGAATGCCAATCTACCATCTTACAGAAGAAGAAAAGGGCTAGAGACTCGTTTGATCCTTTTAGTGAGGAAGGGGGGTTGTTTTGGGGAGGCGATGAGGTTCTAAGGTGGCTGAGGAAGTATGTGAAGATAGAGCGTTCGGGAGCAGAACCCAGCATCTATCTCGTTGAGCCAAGCCAGGAGGATAGAGAGGGGTTCGGAAAACCTGTCACCGTCGGATTTCCAAATGGAGGCAGGCAGAGATCCGGAAGCAGGGCGGAAGAGCAGATTGGGCGCCCAAGTAGTTCTGGGGGGAGCGGCTCTGGGGTTCCTAGCCAGAGAGATGCGGGAATGGACCCGATCACGAAGGCTCTGAAAGAAGCGAGGTGGAGTTTCTTGGAAAAGTTGAGCAAGGTGACTAATTTTACTCGGCGGACGGCACAGGATGTTCTTGATAACCCGAAGATACCACCGCAGGTCAGGCGGCTGATGAGGAACCCGGAAGTCCAGACGCTGCAAGATGAGTTTGATAGCGCTCGATTGTACCTCGCTAGATGGGCGATGGGCATAGCCGAACAGAGTGAGAGGGAGAGAAACCAAAGGATTTGGACGGCAAAGGATGTCCTCGAAATGGAAGACAGTGCAGTAGGAGAATTTGAAATATTGGATATTGAGGCGGGCAATATGTCTTTGAGTGAAAGACGTAAGCCTGTGACCTTGAGCGAGTGGCGGGGGTTTTTCGATCCCCACACGGGCCGGCTACATATCACGCCTGACGAAGTGAAGGAGAGGATATTTCATGGTGGCTTGGACCCTAGTGATGGTGTGAGAAAGGAGGCTTGGATGTTTTTGCTAGGTGTCTATGAGTGGGAAAGCTCAACGGCTGAGAGAAAAGCAAACATGGCAAGCCGAAGGGACGAATACGTGAGGTTGAAGGGTGCTTGGTGGGACAGGCTTGCTGATGGAGGAGGGGAGGGGGAGCAAGGGGAATGGTGGAGAGAGCAGAAGAGCAGAATAGGTATGTGATCTTGCTCGCTTCTCTTCAAATTACGAATGCCAAAAACTGACCTTCCCCATTGCTTGGGATACGTTCGATAGAGAAGGATGTCCATCGAACAGACAGGCATATTGCTCTTTTCGCTGGTGAGGACATTCCACATCCGGATCCCGATTCGCCGTTTGCAGAGGTGGGCACGAATGTGCATCTAGAACAGATGAAAGATATGCTCCTCACATACAACGAATACAACCACGGGTTGGGTTATGTACAAGGCATGAGCGACCTCCTAGCTCCAATCTATGCGGTGATGCAAGACGATGCAGCTGCTTTTTGGGGGTTCGTTGGATTTATGGAGCGGATGGTAATATCTTATCCCGGGCTTTAGGAATCCGATTCGCCTGCTGACAATAACCCCAAGGAGCGTAACTTCCTTCGGGATCAATCTGGCATGCGCGCCCAACTCTTAACCCTCGATCACCTCGTGCAGCTCATGGATCCAGCGCTCTACTTGCATCTTCAATCCGCAGAAAGCACCAACTTCTTCTTCTTTTTCCGCATGCTGCTCGTGTGGTACAAGCGCGAGTTTGAACTGCCTGATGTGCTGCGGTTATGGGAGTGTCTGTGGACGGACTGGTTGAGTTCCAGTTTTCATCTCTTTATCGCTCTAGCGATTTTAGAGAAACACCGGAATGTACTGATAGACCACCTGAAGTATTTTGATGAGGTGCTAAAATATAGTACGTTCATTCCTTCATGCCTGTTTCGTGCTCCATAGCTTCTGCTAACCTGAATCGTAGTAAATGAGCTCTCCAACACAATCGACCTTCAGTCGACGCTCATACGGGCTGAAGCACTCTTTCGACGCTTCCAGCGCACTGTTGAAGCCATCGATAAGAAATCCAATTTTCCACCACCCAGAACCGTTAGACAACGCAAGTCACTAACCGAGCCACTTCCCAGGGTAGGCTCTTCTGCGACTGGTGAGCCTAGTGGTAGCTCTTCTGGCAGTGATGCGGCCGCAACTTCTGGAGGCCTCGTAGGCAATACCGAGAAAGTTATCAGTCCGGAGCTCAGACAACTACTAGGGCGGGAGGTGATCAAAATGGACAATGCGACCGAGCTGAGAGATAAGTCGAAGGGGAAAGCCAGAGCTAACGCTCCAGTGCCAACGTGAGGTCTTTGGTTGTACTCGTTAAGCAGGGGGCCGAACTCTGGCATAGAGGACTATTACGGGAATTTGTCCTCCTGGCTATGGCGTTTTGGGCGTTCCTCCATGGGGTCTTCCTTGCCGCTCTTGATTTCTCACTGTTTTCCTTGATCATGTCTATTCTTGTTATTTGAATTGCAGATGCCACGCTTTGAGTGGGATTTTGATGGCTGGGAATATAACCTGGCTATACATATATGGGAAATCAGTAGAGAAATGTTTTTGTAGGGTCCTCGAATACGATATAAGCCACAATGCACCGAAAGGAGAGTATAAAGCGCTATATAATACCAACGACTTAGACCCTACTTGATTCCATTTCCGACTTATTTTCGCTAATCCAGCAAGCGAAAAACAACCGCTTCCATGATTTTCGGCCACAAGGTTCGGTAATATACCACTTCAATTGCATAATTTTCATACAACATCCGAATTGGTGTAGTGGTTCGCATACCTCGCTCTCAACAAGTGATCGCCGAGGCGACCCGGGTTCGATTCCCGGATTCGGAATATTTTTCTTTTCCTTTTTTTTTTTTTTGGAAAAATTTCTCATCTTTTGCTCCTACTGTCCGTGCCATCTTAGTCCTCCACTACGTAATAAAGACGCACTTTGGCAGAGTTGCAACGGGATATCAAACAGGGGGTTTGGCAGTAGATGAGGCGAGATTGGCGCGGTGGGAAACTGTTTCGCTAAGATGGGAAATTGGGGAGGCAGAATTTTGGAGGGATTTGGTTGGCTGGATTTCTTAAACAGTAATTGGAAACGGAACCCTCACTTTCCCAGCTTGGGATACGATTTGCTTCTCGATATGCCCCGTTTTTCAATCTTTGGTTGTCGTTTGTTCTGCGCGCGAATTGCATCGGTAGGATTTTGTCTATAGGGAGCACGGGGTCATAGGGTCACGCACGGCGCATTGTGGAGCGCCCGGACGGTATCGTGCATTATCATCCAAGTGGAGAAGCGGGCGGTGACATCAACTCGTTTGCTTGGGACTGCTCAACATGATCTTCCTCCGACGATTTTGACTGTCCAACAAAAGAAGCCCCCACCACCTCCATTTCCTTTATATTCGCACCCGCTCCACGTTGCTCTTAACGCGGTTGCACTTACATCTCATACAAACTCCGACTTTACTGGTTTCAGCTGCCGAACCGCGACCTTTTTCATGATCATGTCGGCATTTACGACTTCAATTGACCACGACTAACCGCAGAGAAGAGCAATGTCGGAAATTCAGTTCGGTGCGGGTAATCCGTCGCACCCCTTTGTGCCCCTTCGACGCCTTACAACACGATCTCCATCTCCTTCCCGCTCACCCACTAGGGGAGGCGGATTTACCGCACATGTGCTCGATCCACTGCTATCGGACCTATCTCCATCCAAGACATTAGAAGCGCTGTCGTCTAGTCCGACATTTGTCGGCAATGGCGGACGTTCAAGTGCGCTGCAGGCTAGCATAGCGGTGGCTTCGCCTGCACAGAGGGCATTTGCGGTTAGGGCAGCGTTGGCGCACAAGAAGCTTCGTGAATGGTCTGTTGAGTTATCTTCTTGGGAGTGGCCTACCAAAGACGGGCTATCGGAAACCTCTAGAGGATTTCAAGTTCCATCTTGGGAGGAGAGAGCAGCTAAACGGAGAAGGATGGATAGTGGTCTGCAGAGTCAAAAGAAAAGTTGGGGGGTGGTAACGCATGGCGGAGGGGGTTTAGTTACTTCACAGAAAGCCAGCCTAGACGCTGTTATAGGGTCAAGCTCTGGATTTGGTGCAAGTGACGATGGCGATGATGGTGATGATGATGTGGAAGCTGGACTGGAGCCCGACGATGAATACTGGGGTAGCCTCCCTGCTTATCGCGTGTTGGAATATGAGGAGAGGGTAGAGACTATCAAGGGGGAGATGGAAGCGCTTGATTTAGAGGAACTGAAGAGTCAGGTGCTAGGTATTGACACCCCCCCCCATGGATGGTAAGACTCGCAACCGACTAACATGATCCTAGATGCGCATATACCATCGAGATCCAGACCTTCGTCATCATACGACCTTATAGATGACGAACCCTCGCTCGAGAACTACGTTCCCCTCGGAGATTTCACGGCCCTTATAACGGCCACTACACTACAAGCCCTTCCTTACCTTTCCCGAGTCATAGGCCTCTTAAATACGTGGGTTATTCGGATCGCTGTACTCAAGGTAGTTCCAAAATTTCTGGCGAATCTTGAGGAGGTCGAGGATTTAGTGAAGTTAGCGTTCGGGGCTATTGTGGTTTCAACTGCCACACCACATGCTAGTTCGCAACGGGGGAAATTGACTGAAAAAGGGCCTGGTCCGGGGGCGCTGCGGCTTTGGGGGGGTGGACGAAACAGATTGTTGCCAATACCTCCAGACGAAGATTTCACCAGGAGCGCTTTCAATGCTGTTCGAGAGATGCTGGAGAGGAAAGTCACATCGCTAGGGCAGCTGCTTGATAGTATGCTAGATGATCTAGAGGGGCGAGATGATACTATACCAGAAGAGTGGATCGAGAAGATGGAGGCGGCGGAGGAGAGTTATGGGAATTGGGTTATCGAAGCGGAGAAGAAGGTGTTGGAGGCTGAGTGGAGACGAAGTTTTCAAGCCCAGGCTGAACAGCTTACCAGCGCCCAAAACAGTAAAAAGGCCGACGCTGGCAAGGACATTGTCGGAAAAGCCGGTGCAAATGGCGATGATCCGGCAGAGTGTGAGGTAAGCGCTCAAGAAGAACCCGTTGGCGGAGCACACGACATCGCTGAAGGCGGGGCTTCGAAGGATGTCCAGGCTATCCAATGTCCTGACCTGCTTCCGGTTCAACAGCCCGACGATACGAGAGTCTACGATCGAGCGGATGAGGTAGAACTAGCTGGAGATGTCGCCGATGTGACCGGAGTGAAAGAGGATACAGCGGATAATTGGGAGGCAGACATCGGTGGAGTTTGCGACCCAGTCTTGGATGAAACCTCAGTATATACCCCGGCTATGCAAGGTTTAGATCTACCCTCAGCTCAACCGACCGACGATAGCCATGACTACGAGCGGACGGATAAAGTGGATCCGGATGAAGACACTATTGAAATCACTGAAATCAAAGAGGATGAGACGAATCATCAGGAAACAGATGTAGATGGGACATACATCCTAGTCCCGAGTGATGCCTCGGGAGATATTTCAACCTCACCTAGCCTTGATTCGCCCCCAGCTCAACTCGACGCTACCCGAGACTTCGAAGAAGTAGAGCAAGCCTGCCAGGTACTCGAGAGGGACATGACCAACGAGATAATCGTGGCAGAAGATACTACTGGGGTGGCTGGAACGACCTCGAGCCAGATATCGGAGAATACCCTAGATGTCCTAGATGTATGCGAGCTAAATCCACCCCTGGCTTCGCAGGTCAGCGACGCCAGGACGCCTGAGAAGGCGGCCGTACTGGACGATGACTGGGACATGGTAGATGGGTCGGACACAGCTGAGCAAAATATCAGAATAGTCAAGGCGGCTAGTGGTCAATCGAGAGAGAATGGAGCAGAAGCTAGTGGCGTATATTGCCCTACCCAGGGAATCCCAACACAGCTGTCCACTACGCAGAACTCGGATTCCCCTCCGCCGATTCCTGAGGTACCGATTATAGGCAAAGTCTCCTCCGATGGGAACACTACTGATGATGTGTTCGTCCATGTCATATCCAATGCCATTGGTACATATCCAACTACTGAGACGAATAATGAAGGTCAGGAGCCAGTTATAAATAACGAGAGGCCTGAAACACCCCCTTTACAACGCCCACTTCCGTTGGGGTCTCCTACAATATCGCCCCCAACCTCCCAAAGAAAGGCAGGACGTCGAAGCCCACTTGGCACAGTCGACTCGGGAGATATCCGCTACAATATATCTAACCCGGTTATTGTTGCAGATGCAGGTCCCGCAGGAGCTTCCTCTACGGAACATCCCACGAGCGTCGAGAACGATGCATTCTTCAATCCAAAAGTAGCTAACAAAGACTGCACTGCGGCGTGTCTGGCTAGCTCTAATAGTGTTGAAACTCTTCCTGATAAGCCGGTTCATGGAGAGAATAATTCACACATAAGCGTCCGAGCCAAGCCGTCAGAGTTACCGACAGCCACTTCAATTAGCTATGCCCACGAGATAAAACCCCTAGTTCTGGCTTCACCCTGGACCACCCCCGTGAGACCGGATTTCGATTCAGATAATAGCCAAACCTCCCCAAACTTGAGCATACAGTCTTCGTCCTCAAGCCCCACTTTCCAGACACGAGGTTTAGAGCCGCCGAGATTCGGGAGGCCCACCGACAATACTGATTCCCTGCCTCCAATTAGCGGGACCCATGAATCCCTCTCGTCGCGAATGACCACTGAAAGTAAGTGTATGACAAACGAAAACGTGGGCCCCGAAAGGCAGTTAGATCTAGATCTCAACAGGGAAGGCTTAGGAATTCGAGATATAATGACGGAAACAGTTTCTCATATATCCTTAGGAGGGGGAACGAGTGCAACTGAGGCGACTGGAGAACTTGATATACATGGAGGTGACCAACCCGAGGCGACTCCGAGGGATGCCATACCCCAATTCCAAGAAACTAGCCGGTCTATCGATTTGAGTGACGGTGGACTGCCACAAGAAGAATCGATCGCTGGGGCGGAGTCCGAAAGAAATGAGTTCTCGGTTGAGACTCCTATAACGACTGATAGCGGGGAAGTCGTGCTTGACTCGGTAGAAAATTTCAATCCGGAGAATCATGGCCAGCCCGACACTGTGGAACTAGAGCACTCAATATCAGCCTCGCCTAGCCTGTCAGAATCTTCCTACTCGCCCGAAACAGCAGCTCTAGAGGTTCCTAAAGCAACTGGAGAGAGCAGTGATAAGATCAATTCCGTAGAGTCGGACTCCCCGAGCCCGAGCCCGAGTCCCCCGTCCATCAAAGCCGATGCGACTGTAGGATGCATAGCTTCAGCAGGCGAGTGCTTATTGACGAGGTCTGACGAGAATGCCAATTCGTCGCCCAAAGTAGGGGCCTTTGTCACCATAGACACGCATCCAAATCTCCAACCACATCTAGACGATACACCAGATGGCAATAAGGTAGTGCCCACGTCGGAGGGAACACCGGAAACCTTAAAGCATTCGCCTGTAAGTGTTCCAACGAGCCCTGCCCAACGCCTTCCTCTAGAATCACAACTAACACCCCTACAGGCGGAGACTCCCAACGCTTTGTGGACTCGAAGTCCCTACTCCAGCCCGCTTACCATGGATAATACTCCACAAGGTGCCGGCCCACGAACCCCCATGTCCTCCGAGTCGTTTCGAAATTTGACCCGCCCCCGAAGATCGGAGCCGCCCACACCACTACCATCTCTTTCTATTAACGACGTTGAAGAACAATCTCCATCTGTGAGGCAGTACCTGAAAAGACACGATACAGGCAGCTCGGAAGATGACCCGCTCGGTTCTCTCCCGGCCTTACAAATACCCAAACGGCGGCAG